TACCCGCCAACCTCATGTGTGGCGCCACTGGAGGCTCGAACTCGCAACCTTTTCAATCAGAGTTTAACACCCTAACACTCATTCAGCTAGGAGCTCGTTGTCTTGCCAGCTCAGGTTGGCAAATAATGCCACTAGTTTATGAACTCTCACCGGCGGTGTAAATTATGTCTTTATTTGCAGAGTCACCTTGCTCGATTAAAGTGGAAGCCTCCTCACGAAGTTTATTTGATAACAACTGCTGATAATAGAACCACCAAAGCTGTGTACATACGTGACAATGAGAGACACCGGCAAGAATGATTATAGAGGCCGAAGAATCCCGTCGACTTATAATAAAAAACTATTTTTAAATGTTCGGTATCCTGACTTGAAATTTTTTCGATAAATTCCACCAATAGAAAGGATGAATTTCCATTTTCGTTAAATTCCGCCTACATAAGGTCCAATTTCTCTCGATTAGCTTTCTTATTCTACGCAATAGAGGTATATATTGATTGAATTTAATTCTATTTGGCATATTACATGAAACATCATCTTATTCAATTTAATATTTTTTTCACAGTTCGGTCAACTCAAGAATTAAATGTTTAACCACAAAATACTTCAAGCAGTTGGGCGGAGGAATAGAAATCTAGTGGACCCTTCAAATCATTTTTGCCGAGACACCGGTCTGGTTGATCATGAAAAAGAACGCATTTGAATTCTGTGTGTTCCATAGCATGCAGCAGGATGTTTTTAGTTCAGAAAAAAGTTATTTCGCGCTACCATCCCTCCCTTAAGCTTAATGTCGAAGCCTTGCCCAAAGAGGGCTGCTTACTGGCCGCTTATGAAGTCTGACGTAAGGTTTTCAGTGGGAAAACAACAAAAAGAGACTATTTCATCAAAGAAAACGGTGTTTACAATGAAGATTTTGTTTTCAGCAAGCCCGAAAATATTATTGCTTCGCATTAGCGCGATTTGCTATTTATGGGGCTTTCTTTTTGGGAGCTCTGCTGCAGCATTTTGGATCCTGCAAGAGACATAAAAGACTCTAAGTACAGGGCATTTGGCTGACATCTGGGATAGCCGGTCATCCCCATCATCATCATGTAATTGTGGCCTTGCCTGCGCCCATACGGTAGTGACAAATATGGCATGTGTTTTGCGCAGTCTTAACCACTTCCAAGATATTGCGCATTTTGCACAGAAAGGCAGCAGACAAGTATCCATTCGTGTGGTTGTAAACCGGCTTGATATGTTACCAGGGTATCAAATGTAGTCCTCTGAACCACAGACTCTCTTCCCCTTCCATTTTTTCTGATGCCTTGGAACTCGTCCCCTCACAGTTTTGCGTATCTGCGTTTTCACCTTTCCACTCACCTTCACTTGAGCAAATTTTAGGAAAAAAACGGTGACCTCTAACATACGGTGCTAGCAAGGTAGGGCTTGAGTAAAGCCAATGCTCTAGCTAACCAAGCTGGGTCAAATCCGCCACCTCCTTCTAATATATAAGTGTGCTTGGTGGTCAGCTGATGAATTCTAGATTGATTGCTTAGGAAATTCTGCCTGAGAAGTGAAGCCTTACCTTGCTGGTGGCGTAGGTTCGAATCCAACCGAGATCGCCGAATTTTTCACAATTGGGTTGGTTGATATATTAAAATCCGCCAACCTCCTCTTTATAACTTCCTCTGGTCTGCAGTCAGGGCTCGTCGAGTATCAGCGCTTACAGGCTAAAACCAATAGACAATACGAATTATCCTATCCAGCGCTGGCTTTTGTGCTTTGAGGACCACGTTGCTTGGTTCTCTATATGTCATTTTTAGGAGTGGCTCACCGGCAGGTACTGAAACTAATTGCGTACCTTTGCTTTTGGTATTTACAGTAGATGTTAAAACTTATTAAATGTTGTGGTTTAGACAAGAACATTAATGTTGCGCTCTTCTTTCTCAGACAATAATGAGTTATCTCATATTTGCACTCACCTCAATTTCTGGAAGGCAAAACAGAATTTTCTCTTCTCTGAATAGATTTTATAAAAGTTTCTG